AGAAGTTGAGATTTCAAAGTAATGTAGAAATCACATATGAGTCTTATCACCCCAGGCATGGATATTTGCAAGAACAATCTCTTAACTCATTACATGAGCCTTCTGCTTTTGGTCCTAATACCTTTTTGCATGATGTATCACACTCTTGATAGACGGCGCACGGTCCAAGAATTCGTTTGCATCCCATATTCTGTTCAACTATATGAAACAAAATTGTATTTTATATCTACTATATATATGATAATATGTGCCAAAGAATAGGAGCCGAATCTAAAAACAATAGTAGCAGATAATTATTGTAATGTTTTTAAAGAAAAATGTATGAGTAGTGTATAAATACCTAACGAAAACATGACAAGGAAGAAAATGATGGGGAGAACAAGTGAAGAAACTGCCTTCGCCATTCTTGTTTATATATTCTTCTTTTCTCTTAAAATTAGTTAATAGTATTATTGAATTTTGGTAGACCTGAAAAGTTGGGAGACTAGTGAAATGAGCTTTATAGAATTATGAGATGATCAAGTTTTAGAAATACAATTATTTACTATTACTATATATGTTTTGAAATATTTTGACTCTATATTTTGAAATGGTTTTGGTATCTTATTAAAAAGGAATAAATAAATTAAATAATATATTTTTGTTGGTCAAAGATTAAATTTCATTAAAACTGGATTAAACCGAGTGAACCAGTACATTTGTGAAAGCTGATTGTGCTAGACTATCAGCCTCAGAGATTTATTTCCCTTGTGATAAAAAACTCAAAGAAAGAAATGCAAAGATCGATTGAGAGCTGATTGATGTCGTAGAGGATGCCGGAAAGTTCTGGCTTCAGACTCTTCGTATTGATCAGATTGATGAGGGATTGTGAATCTGAGGGATCGCAACCCCAAGGCTTTCCCGTGTATCAACGCTTCACGGACGGTTATAGCCTTCGCGATTAGGGGTGAGGAGATGTTCGATGTTATCATGGATCCTTGGGAGAGAGTCCGATCTTCATGGTCCCGGAAAAGCCAGCCCAGGCCTGCAACCTTCGTGCTCTCGCTAGGCATGTGCTGGTGGTAACTGTGTCTCATTTGTAGCATGATAGCCGGACTTTGCCTGGTAGCAACCAGAAGCTGTACCAAGCCAGACATAGGTATCTTCTGCACCCATTCCATAGAGTTTGGCTTGAAAAGATCAGAGACGAGCATATTCTCCACTTCTCTAGTGGGAGGACCAATTGGTTGGATGGGTTCCGAGACAGATAGCCATGGGTCTGACCAGACCTTTGTTGATCTTCCATTGCCTATAACCTTTCCCAATTGCTTCTTTACTAGGTCTTTGCCGATCATGATGCCACACCATCCATGGCAAGCGTTATTGGGAGCTTTTGAATTCAGAAAGGAGGAGTATTTACCAAGTAGGATCCTGGCCAGCAAGCACTCTGGGTTTGTGAGGAATCATTGAAGCGTTGGATACATAGGTTTTTTTTTTTTGGCTGTTAAAATTATAGATAAATTATTTGAGTTTTCTTATTTTATGTTCATGCATGCAAGCAAATTTTGAAGATATTACATCTGTAAATTAATGGATGTTAACCCAATAAACAAAAGCATAGAAGCTGAACTGTATTAATTTCAAAAATACGTGGAAATTTTCTCTGAAACTGTTTCTCCTCCAAACATAAGAGAAAATTTTCTATGAACCTATTTGATACATTTCCTTTGGGAAGACTACAAGTCTACAGCTAACTGATTTATGAGCTTCAGTTTTATAACCGGTTTAAGAACTGTCTTAGTGATTTGGAGAGAGAAGATGAGAATTATTACACTACAAGAAAACATGTTAATTTTCGACGGATTTTATGACGAAAACGTCGGAAAGTTTATGACCATTTTTCGACCAATTTACGATGGTTTTACGATCCATCGGAAATTTATCAGAAACTTTTGACGAAATCAATTTCTCGGAATTCCGTCATAAATTTTCGACGGATTCCCGACAAAGTTTGAATTTTAAGTTTTTAAAAATAATTTTACAATATTCATCGAAATTCCGACGAAACTTTTGACGGATTGCTGACAGAAATAAAAAAAACACAAAATTAAAATTGAATTTATTAAAATAAATACTTTTTTATAATAACATTTATGACGAAATTATGACGGATCCAAATTTACACCGCCAAAAGTCTAATTGGCGGGAGTATGCGGGAATTTTGAAATATTTAAAATATTTTAAGCGCCAAAACTTACAAAATTTTTGACGGATTTTAAAATTTTGACCGCCAAAACTTACAAAATATTTTAATTTTTGGCGAATATATAGTTTCCGACGGAATTTTGACGAAAACGCCCGTCATAATTTTCTGTATAAATAAAACCTCTTCTTCTCATTTTTCACAACTCCAAAAATGCAATGTCTCTCTAGATTTTCTTATCTCCTAAGCAATTCGAAAATAAGGTTAGTGTTTATAAAAAATAAATTTACAAGTTTATAACTAGTATATTTGATTTAGTATTGTTATTAATTAAATTTAGGTGGTTAGTTAAGTTTGTAATGTATGTTGTATAATTTTAAGTGGTTAGTTAGGTTTATAATGTATGCTGTTTAAATTTAGGTGGTTAGTTGTATTTAGTATGTAATATTTTTTTTTATAATGATATATAGTGTTGTTTTTTTCTTATTTCATGTTTAAAGAAGAAGATGAATGATGTTCATTAAATTAGTACTATATGGGTGTTCAAAAGAAAAAAGAAGAAGATGAAAG